TTTAAATGAGAAAAATTGATTGAGGTGAAGCCTAACACATCCTTTTTAATGTATCTTTAGTTAGTAGTATTAGCCCATTGACACTTGAATAAAGTCACCACAAATCGGTCATAGTAGTTTAATTCAATGATGTCAACTAATTTCCCATAATATGGAGGCTTGTTCTCTAACACTTGCATAACTTTTAGTTCCAAAGTTACAATAAGCACCATTATGGGGACATAGATGTCATTATGCGAAAAGTTAGGATTACTTTGGTAATTTACTAAGGTTATCAAATATTGATTTTAAGGATGTAATTAAATTCTATAATTTATTTTATGGGTTCAAAGTGATCTTATTATGATCAAACATGTCTAGATTAATTTCTAAAAATAATTCAAAGTAAGGAAAATTAATAAACCAATGAAAATTGGTTTAGGTCAAAGTTTGATGTAAAGTTGTTAAGTTCGTAACATAACTTAACTTTGTGAATTCTTTGCATGATTTTTGATGTATGATTGATTCTTTGTGACCTTGTATGTTTTATATTCTTAAAAGTCAAAGTTAAGCGTTGACTAACCAACAAGAATCAAGATTGACTAGTCTTGAACAAATGGACCAATGAATGGAAAGTTTGAAAGTCTTAAAATGTTAAAATTTCCAAGTAAGCAATCCTAGTCACCTTGGCCTTGGTTGGACGGTTTTTACTTGTGGAAATGATCTAGAATGTTGTATAGAAAGATGACAATGCAAGTGTGAAGTTAAAGGACCAATAGAAAGCAAGCAAGTGTGTTAAGGGAAAAAGTGTAAAAGTAAGGTAACTTAGTGATAATTCACTAAGCATAACCGGTCACCACTTTCATTCTAAGTGAAAATTTCTTCTCATTTTAACACACCACGGTTGAACCTTGAAGCTAGAGAGAGACAATGGATGTTCTTGAGTTTTAAGATACTTTTTGGAGAAAACCTATTACACAAAAGTTATAGTTCTTGATCTTATGATCTTGAATCTCTTTTCTTTTCTTTTCTTCTTATGATCTTTACTTTTTAGTTTGTGAAAAATACATAAATAATTTTGTTTAGAAATTTAAAATTCAATTTTATTTGTAAAATATAATAATTATATTAATTTTAAAAAAGATCAAATTGTAAAATTATCTCATTAACCATCCAATTTCTCCCTTACCATTTTTTTAACTCTCAAACAAGGGAAGAGAATACCCTTTAATTTTCTTCCCCTTCCTCCCCTTGGATCCCCTTCCCTTTCTTTCCTTGCCATTCATCGGATGACACTTTGTAGGTAGTGAAGTCAACATCCTACTCAGTGGCAGAGCCAGCAAGGCATTCTAGCGGTGCCAAAAAATTCAGTTGGTGTCAAAATAGTTACGGTTATACAGCTATGACTAAAACGTGGCTAATTTTCAAAAAACTTGAAACATGATTTGCTACGTTTCAAGCGTAACTAAATAAACGTGACTAAATTAGCCAGTGTCAAAATACCTGCTAGCACCAACATGGCTCCGCCACTAATCCTACCTTGGAAAGGACTGGTGTGGGTCGAATTCGAATTGAACCATAGCACTTAGTTGATAAGGATAAGTAGAATGAATTTCATTTTGACTAACAACCACAGTTTTTTGTCTAGTGGTAAGCATTTGATCCAAAATAGAAAATAATCGGATGTTACATATAATTTTTTTGTATTTGCTGAATACTTTAAAAACCTTAACAGACCTTTTTTTATTGTTTCACTATTTGATTATACGTATTGCTCAAATACTTGCAACATTCTGTATTTAGTAAAAACTAAGTTTTAGAAGTGCCCCATGACAGACTCACTGATTCGTAGGTTTCAACTTCCATTTATTTTAATGTTTTTTTTTTTTTTTTTGGATAAGCAATGGTTTTTTTTTTTTTTTTTTTAAATTTTTACTAACAATTCTCCTTACTCACATGAAGAGACACTTAGAAATTATGGAGCACTATAGAAATTCTTTCTTTAAGTGACATAGGGAGTTTTTTTTTTGGAGAAAAAAAAAAGACGATGATTTTACACACGTGAATAGATTCCCAATATAGGCCACTATGACATAGGGAGAAATTTTGATGTTGTATGGTATTGCTCGGTAGATTAACTAAATTTGTACTGATATTGAAAATGGACTTGAATAAAATAAAGCACAAGGAAAATAAGTGATTACAATGATATACATAGAAAATAAGTGATAAAAGAAATCACATGAATTTTTTTGAACTTGACCTTAAATAACATTATATATACGAGTATATGTTCGGTCTGACTTAAATTAGATTGATTTTTAAAATTGAAATGGAAAATCAATCCACCTAATAAAGTAATTTAGTTTTTAGTTTTTAGTTTTTAGTTTTTATTTTTTATTTTTTATTTTTTATTTCAATTCTTGCAGTTTAAATTAAATTAAATTAAATTAAATTATTCGTATTATTGTGCAAAATATGGATAAGAATTTGTGTTTTTTTGTTGAATTTCAATAAAAAATAATAAAATTAATAATTGGACTTTTTTTGGGGCAGAATCCCTTGAATATGATCGCAGACACGAGGCGGCGCTTTCGCTGGACCATGTGGAAAGCCGCATATGACTTCGTGATCTTTCCATTGCAAATAACCAAATATGCAATAAATGTGTCCTTTCTTTAAGTGTTTGTCTCAGATTATTCAAAATAAGACAGAAAGACCCCAAAAGTCCCAATCACTAGGCAAACATTTGATATCCTATCATAGAAAAATGGGCAGAATTTTTGACATATTGAGTCGATGCAAACACACACTCACACGTAAAAAAAAGGATGAATTCTATATTTAATTCTTAACTTATGTTTTAAAATTACATATTAATAAATATATTACTTATTTTATGTTCTTGTGAAAGGGCATCCTTATATAGCTTATTTTCATGGGAAAAAAATTGTGCTAAGAGAACTAAAAGTTTTTATATATTTTATTCAAAAAAATATAGTGTGATATTGTAAATTCAATTTGATGATAGTTATTTAATTCTACCATCAGATATTTTTTTTGGATAAACCACATATATTTCCTATCGGAGGCAATGCTATTTGGGACAGAACATCCACAAAGCTAATTCTCCCAAAGAAAATTTTACACCTTCATATATTATTTACTGTTTGTGTCATATACAGGTATATATTAAATTGGTATATTACTCTTCTTAAACTTCCTTCAATATTGGTTCAATAGTATTTCAACCTGATCAATTTTGATTAAAAAAATTAAATTGATATACTACTCATGTATATATACAGGACTTTCTCCATTTTTTGGATATGAAATGTGAATTCAAATAATTAATATCAAATTAACTCCCTCTTTTTTTTTATTTTTTTTTGGGGTAATCTAACTCCCTCTTTAAATTGTAACGGAGAATCCAACGAATTTAAGTATTTAAGAGAAGCTGCAATAAAAAAACTCGAACATTAAATAAAAAATAATATAAAGGTAAATTATTTGAAAGTAGTAAATTGAAATATTCATTTCAAAATATTTTTTTTTTAAATCTTAAAAGACAATTAGAGATGGAATAATTTCGTCACTAAGTGAAATATTTTCGTCACTAAGTAGACTAGTGACGGAATTAGAGACAGACAAAAATCCGTTACATTATGGCTCGTCACTAACAGATTGAGACAGAATTATGAATCTGTCCCTAATAGAGACGAACTTTAGGACGAAATAAATCAGTCTCTATCTGAGACGGAAAAAATTCTGTCTCTATCAGAGACAAAAATATTTCCCTTCCTGATAGTGATGGATAAATCCGTCTCTGTAATATTATTTTCTGTCACTAATTTATGCACATGAAATTGCGTAATCTGTTTCTATTAGGGATAGAAATTGTTCGTCTCTATTAGTAAGGGATTTTTTTCGTCTTTGTTAGTGACAAACAGTTTTCCGTCTTTGTTAGACATGGAGAATTTTCATCTCTGTTAGTGACAAATATTTTATCTTTCTATTAGTGAGGAATATTTTTTTCCTCTCTTTTAGTGACAGATTGTTTTTGTCTCTGTTAGTGACCGAAATTTTTGTCTCTATTAGTGACAATATTTCCATCCCAATTGGTGACAAATATTTCTTTCTCTATTTTTCATCCCTAATATTTGAATTTTTTTAAAATAAATTACATTGAAAATTTAATTTTTATTGAAACTTAATATTAATTTATTAATTATAATATAATATTCCTACAACAAACTAACACAAAATATGAAGTAGCTAATACTAAGTGAAAATGAAGTACTAAATAAAATCCAACCATTGTAATACAATAAGTTTTAACGTGAATTCATGAAAAATAACAAATGTATGAGACAACAAATAATATTCACAAATGAAAATAAGAAAAGAAAATATGTATCCTATCAATTATCGCCATGTAACTGAGCATCAATATCATCATAATCATCACTCTGTGCATCTAGTGCCGGAGTCATAGTGGTGAAAGTGCGCACATCCCCTCCTAAATGAGCCATCAACATCGCCAACTGCTCTTTCATATTGTTATTTTTGATCTGTTTGATCTTTCATAATAGTCATTTGTTGCTGTGTGTTTTCATATTTTTGCTTCAGTTGCTCGTTTTGGCTAGATAAGTTGGTGATCGTGTCTCTCATGCAATCATACTCATATGTAGAGATTCCTGACGAGCTGGCAGAAATCTTTGTGGACTTATAATTCCATGCCTCTGCATCTAAATCATATATTCGACCTTTCTTGTTCATACCACCAACAACTTGCAATAATAACACATCATCATATTAACATCAATATTAAACTGCAATTTTGGCAATTGTAGAATCAAGGGCACATTTATATCAGCTTCTAAAACCTTTACCAAGTTAAAACCAAATACCAAAGTTTTAAGACTTTTCCCACCAAACAGTGATTCGTGAGCATTTGCAAAAATATTACAAACAATCGGATGTATGAAAGACACGCCTTGGATTGTTTCTATATCAAATGATCAGTCTTTTGATGAAGCCTTCAATTGAGGTCAACTTCAACTTCTGTTGGTTTTTCTATCTCCTTCCTTGTAACTTCAATGTCAGCTTCGAGCTTCCTTGCCTATGATGTACAAGTATTTTAAATGATTTGACAGGAAAAGGAAACCATATTAACTAGGTACAGGCTCAATGCAAAACTTTTTAATGGTTGGAGTTAAATCTGAACTAGAGTAGGTACAATTTTTTTTTGATTTAGCTTAATTACAATAAAATACCATTGCCTATTAAAATTCCAAATTTAAATGAAAACTGACTTAAAAATTTGCATATATATAGATATTAGTTTTGATAATACCATTGGCATGTAAATGTAAAAATAGTCTCGTAAGAATTCATAATAGAAAAGAACCATGAATATAAAGTCACAAATCGTACAGGAATTTGTAGATACATCCAATGCAGGTCCACCTTTAAATTAGTGTCTATTACTATTTACATCATATGCCAAAAGTGAGAAAATCATTAGCCTAAACGATAACTCGTAATCAATCCCACAAATGTGGTCTCTTGAATTAGCGGCGGGTGGCCTCAAGGTGGACGCTTTATAGTAATAGCAAAACCGTGTGGCGACACGCACTAAGCTAGCAATCAATTGACAACAGTACAATTTAACTAAATTAGATTGCATATTTGTAATTATATTGCTAAGAATGGTAGCAGATAATACTTACAGGGGAAATTTAGTCGAAAAATGGTGAATTGCAAAGCTTCTTCTACCTTGTTTGGGTTATGTTTCCCTGTTTAGTTTTGCCATAATAATCAAATAAATAACTCAGATGAATCGACATGAGCAAAAGAAGAAGAGGTGAAAGGATTAAACAAAATAAAAACACCTACCAAAGAGATAATAATTTTTTCTTGCTAATTGCTTCAACCATGCTCAATGGATACTCAACTTTCAGAATCGAAAAGATAGGGAGGTGGAAGAGAAATTAAGGGGATGTTGTGAGTGGGAAGTTATCAAATCTTATCTTTTTATTTTCAATTATTTTTTTTAATTTTTAATACAAGTTAGAATATTTTCTTAAATAATTTTTAAACAATAACATGGGTTAATAATTTTTAAGATGGCGGGTAAATTTTTAATATCTTTAAGATGGCGGGTTAATATTTTTATTTAAAGTATGGTTTTTTTTTTTTGTAACATGCAATCAACATATATATAACTTTCACTTTAATATTTAAATTATAGAATAATATGACTATATATAATGAGTGATATATCTTGACCTATAAAGTATCATTAAAAATTATATTTTATAAAAATTTAAATTATCATTAAAATTTATTGGACATAAAGCTTAGAAATAATTGGTTAATATAAACCACACAATGAGTAGACGTATTACTCACGATAGATTTTCCCATATTAAACGCCAATACATAAACAACTAGGCCAATATTACACACTATATTCGAACATATGTTGGTTTGTGTGTGTTTTTTTTATTTATCAATCAATCACTGGAAAATAATATTCCATTCTTCGTAATTTGAAACCAAATTTAATTTTGACCTATAAAGTACAATACAGTATACAGTATTCTATATTGAGTACGGTTTTCACACATATATATATATATATATATATATATATATATATATATATATGTGGAGAAAATGTTTATTCTTTTAAATGACACATCTTATATCTTTTCACTTTCACAAAGAGGTGGAACCCACACCTTTATATTTTTTTGTTCACACTCTCTCTCCTCCCTATCTATCTCTTTCTCTTACTTAAAATGAGATAACTTTACCTCTTTTGTAATGATATACAATTTTCCCTATATATAAAGGTCTCATCTATATATAGCATTTATGCTTCGTACATTTGATCACAACGTAGACGGATTGCGTCTTTATATAATTTGAATTTGAATTTGAATTCAAATTATATTACTATTTTTAGTCAAATCCTATAGATAAAGCTTCATTTTAATCTTATTAAGATATGAATGAAATTTAAACTATTTAAAGTTCATTCATATGATATTTATCTTATCTTTATCCTATCCGAATTCAAATTCAAAATTTAAATTAAGATAAGGATCTAGTTTTTATTTAATTTAAATATTATATTTAAACTTTACAAATACTTGATCTAATTCTTTATAAATATTATATTTAAACTTTCCAAATATTATATCCACTTAACACCTGCATGATCCTATCTCATAGGTTCTACATTATACTCTTATAGGCCCAAAATCATATACTAGTCCAAGCCAACTTAGTGATATAGGTATATGCTCCGTTACACCGACACGCAAATTTTTTTGAAATTGTCCGACACGGACACGCTCCGACACGCTCGGACACACGTCCGACACGCGGTCAACATTTGGAGACACGCGGTCAACTCTCTGACACGTTCCGACACGCGGTCAATATTTGGGGACACGCGGTCAACATTTGGGGACACGCTCGGACACGTTTTTTTTTTGTTTTTTTTTTTTTTATTTTTTTAAATCTTAATTTTATTTTGTTAACTAAATATAAAAGAAATAATTTATAAATTAATTTTTTCTATTATAAAATTTGACATTAAAAATTAACAAACTACGAAAAAAATAATTTATATTTATGTTATGAAATTTAAATATTTAATTGGTTATATGACTTATTGTGGACTCTTATATGTATTAAATATAAATCATATTATATATATTAAAATTTTATTTAATATCAAAACGTGTCCCAACGTGTCCAAATATGACATTTTTTAGAATTAACGTGTCGGCGTGTCGTGTCCCGTGTCCCGTGTCCGTGCATCATAGGGTATATGACATATTAGGCCCAAATAGCCACCAATATAAATAGAGACGAATTTGGAAATGGGTCAGTGACGAATTAGTCCAAAGAAGTCTTTTAATTAGTCCAAGCTTGTACTATTTTGAAAATGGGTCAGTGACGAATTTGGAGATGGAATGTGCATTTTCGTCTCTAATTCTGTCACTAATAGAGACAGAAAAAATTCCATCTCTATTAGTAAGGGATCTTGTTCCTTTCCTAATAGAGACGAATTATTTTTTGTCCGTATTTGAGACAGAAAGTGATTTATTTCTATTAGAGATGAATTTTGAGATGGATCATTTACTTTCATCTCAAAATCTATACCAAATAGAGACGTAATATTTTTCGTCTCAAATAAGGATTAAATATAATCCCTCACTGATAGAGATAAAAAAAAGTTCCTTCTCTCTCAGTGACGAAATTGGAGACGGAACATGTATTTGCATCTCTAATTCCATCACTGCTAGTTACAGAAAAATTCAATCGCTATTAATGAGGGATCTTGTTTCATCCCTAAGAGAGACAGATCATTTTTTGTCCGTATTTGAGACAGAAAATTATCCATCTCTATTAGAGACGGATTTTGAGACGGGTCATTTACTTCTGTCTCAAAATTCATCCCAAATAGAGACACATTATTTTTCGTCTTAAACAAGGTCCAAAAATAATGTCTCACTTAGGGATGGAACACGGTCCCTCGTTAATAGAGACAAAAAAAGTTTCATTTCTATCAGTGACAGAATTAGAGACGTAACTACATGTTACGTCTCTAAATCCATCGCCGATAGAGATGGAAAAAATCTATCACTAAATTCCCTCACTAAGCCCAAACGTATATCCTTAATATTATTCCTATTTTTATATATTATGTTCTATCTCTAAATCTATCCCTATTAGAGACGGAGAAATAGTCATCTCTATTAGAGACAGATTTAGAGACAAATTTGTGTCTATTAGAGAAGGATTGGATTTCTATCTCTAAATCCATCAATAACGGAGACAAAAATATTTTCATCTCTAATTCCCTCCCTATTTGCAAAGGATTGTTATTCCATCACAGAATTCGTTTCTATTAGAGATGGATTTTTTTTTGTCTCTAAATTCCGTCTCTAATCCATGTTTTTTTAGTAGTGATATGACAAATGCAAAACCCTATATATACATCGATATTTGTGCTGTATTTTTCTTTTTCTTTTTATTTTAAACATGGTGGACCCCACACTTATTGTTTCTATAACATGACAAGAGAATTTTCCTACAACATGATACTTGTTTTCCCTATATATATATGGGAAAAATATTTCTGCAGTTACTGCAGATAACTTATCTGTATTTATACCCAAAATGACGTCATTTTGGTATTAAAATCTTAGAAAATTATAAATATAAAGACTATTATAACCCTGAAATAAATTAAAATTACAAAAATACCATAATTTCTGTCCCAAAACGACGTCGTATTGAGCTTACTGCAGATAAGTTATCTGCAGTAACGGCAGAAAAAGCGAATATATATATATATATATATATATATATATATATATATATATATATATATATATATATATATATAGGGGTTTGCATTTGTCATTTAACATGACACAACAAACTTTCCTACACACACAATATTTTGTGGGGCCCCACACTTTTTGAAGAAAAAAGAAAAAAAAGAAATTACGGCACGCAAAACGAATCTCTATAACATTACACAATCACTTTTTCTACAACATAACTCTTATAAAACCTTTATATATATATGAGTTCACTTTTTCTGCAGTTATTGCAGATAAGTTATCTGCAGTAATCCTATTACGACATCGTTTTGGGGCAGAAATATTTTTCTGTACATATATATATATATTGGTATTTTTTAATCTCATTAATATTATTGCCTTCTAAATGCAGAAAAACTTTAATCATTCCTACTTTCCGTTTCAAAATTATTATATTCCATATTTTAAAATAATTATAATTTAGGTTTTATATAAAAATCAAAAAAAATATTTAAGTATATTTATTGTAAAAATGAAAATTAAGTATTTGACTAAATTATTTTCCTTCAATAAAGCTTTCGATCTTTTGATTTATTTACTTGAGATCCTAAGAAGTAAGGATAAAATTTTGGCATATCTGTTAGGTGAAATGAAAAAAAAGTATTTATGAAAAATAAATGTAAAATTTTAAATAATATTAAATCTTACATAAGCATAGTCTCAAAAAACTATTTCATAAAACCATTTACATTGTCCTAAAATAAAATTCTCATTTCATTTTGTCGCTAAGAAGTAGGGGTGTTCGCGGTCTGGATTGGATCGGTTTCGGAAGCAAAACTCATCTGATCCAATCCCTTCGGTTTGATCATTTAATCATCCATTCAGTTTAGATTTTTTTTCAAATCCGATCCGATCCAATCCAATTTTTTTCGGTTTGGATTGGATCGGTTTTCGATTTTTCGAATATCCTAAATTTAGTTTCATGATTAGTGTGCAAATAACATATTTTGTATATGGGTTTGTTTTTTCTGATGTTACTTTAGATAACTTTATCTAATGTTCATCAAAACGACGTCGTTTTGGGACGGAAATCATGGTATTTTTGTAATTTTAATTTATTTCAGGGTTATAATAGTCTTTATCACTCTAATTTTTTATCCCCAAAACGACGTCATTTCGATGAACATGAGATAAAATTATCTAAAGTAACATCGGAAACTTGTTTCCCTTTGTATATATTGGCTTTGTAAAAAAAAATTTTCGAAATACAAAAATATCAGTAAACAATACTATAGTTGATGAGACGTGACTAAATTTTTCTTGGGTTTAGTTGATGAGTTAATGGGTCATGGGTTTAGAAATTTTTAGGATATAATTGAGGAAAGGTCCAAGTAGGTACAGGAGAATTAATATATTGGATCGGTTTGGATTGGATCGGTTTTCATCAACTCATCCGAAAACCGATCCAATCCAATTAAAATTTACGGTTTTTTTTCAGTTTTTGGTTTTTCAGTTTTCGGTTTATTCGATTATCGGTTTTTCGGTTCGGTTTGCGTGGTTTGAATCGGTTTGGATCAGTTGATGAACACTCCTACTAGGAAGAGTTTTGTACTATGAATGTTAAAAC